TGAATAAATCTTTTTTCTTCGAGGTAGCATAGATAGTACCAAGACTGTTGACTAAATATTTAGAAAAATAAGCACGCGAGTAACATCTTCCGTGATGTGATTGACAAATCTGATTAAGGAGGGTTTGAAAGTGTTAGTGGAGTTTTACTGCCCCCAAAGGACCCGTTAACCAGTTATGGGTTGACTCTCACTGGGTGAGTCACTATTGGTTCTCTATGCTCCAACGTCAAATAATTCGGTAAAAATCTTTATCAACTCATTCCAAAATCTTCTTTGTTTTTCATAATTTTTTTTTTTTATAATTTATTTATTATTATTTACAACTATATACATATATACACATCAAGTAAATTCGCTGTAAGTGATATGGCATGATACAAACATGTGGAGAATCTACCCATTGTTAAGCATTAAGGATTTTGGACTGTAAGTATTGGATTCGAGAGGAATTCGATGGTTTAGTGGAGCCCCATAGCTCAACTCCGTTTGTCCAGATAGACCTTATAACAGTCGTGTAGATCAGTCTTTTGACATGGATTGGAAAAAAAAAATATTGCAAATGGTATAACATATTCTTGAAGGATATTTTTAATAGACCTGACGCCAGTGCTTTTATCAGCAATGTGTAACGTACGTGCCTCAGTACAAATTCCACTGGTAACTTTTGGGAACACATTCCAAGATGTCTTTCACCTGATATCCTCACTATCGCCCTTCTTATTAATGATTAAGTTTGTGCAATTATACCCAAAAAACATTGCAGTTAAACTATATTAAAAATATTCTATTTCTGTTTAGCCAAAAATAAAATCAATAAAGTGCATTTCTGTGAAATATCCTGCTCGCTCATTTCTCACTTAAAATGTTGGTGGCGTGTTGAATGCTGATAAGGAGTCCATAGTTAGATTGTTTGGAAGTTTTCAGTGTTTTGTTATTTTCTTATTTTATTGATTGTATTTATATTCAAACGGCACGGAAGAAATTTAATCAGGCCTGTATTTAAATGAGACTACTTGTTTGAGTAATCTGTGTGGTGTAGAATTCTATTTCCCCCTGGCATAAACTTCAGTTAATTAGGAAAATAATAGTTAACCAATAATAATAATTAAAACTTTATACTATTAGATGCAAGTTCATTACAATAGCTTTATTAGGTTAATTGGTTTTATTGGGCTGCCAGTGCTATCCTATAGGAAAAAAAACAGGGCTATACTGCAATGAGAACAAAGAAATTGAAATGTTTGTATGAATTCCTATACGTTTTTTTTTCTTGTAATAAATTTCTGAAATCCCAGAGATTGAGAAGGAAGAGAGGAGAAGGAAAAATTCTTTATTGATAAAGATGGGCTAATTAACTGCATTGAACTGCCGCATACACATCGTACTATAACTCATTATACAATTATAATAATACTTATAAATATAGTATAATTAATCTGAAATACATATTTTAGTATATGTATATATACTAGTATTTAGTATATTGGTAGTAATATTTTTTTACATATTTATAAAGATGCTTGAGATACTATTAATTTTTCTTTCCTATTATTTTCTTTTATCTCTCTAAATATATTTTAATACTGAATATATATTTTCAGTATACATGTATACTGAAAATATATATTCAGTATTAAATTCAATTTAATACTGAATATATATTTTCAGTATACATGTATACTGAAAATATATATTCAGTATTAAATTCAATTTAATACTGAATATATATTAATATTTTAAATGAGTGAAATAGGAACAAAGAGAATATTTGTGGTTAGTAGAACATGAACTCTAAATTTATTTAATTTCTTGAATAAAATCGGTTTTCAGGTTTGTTTTATTTTGCCAGTAATTACTGGTAATGACTATTATCTTTTTTTTTTTAATCACCAAAATTAAAAATAACCACAAAAATTAAAAATTACCCTGAACTTCTTCTAGAGCAATAGTTAAAAGAAAACCTCAAATACAAAGAGAAGCTGTAAAAGAAACAAGTAAAACGATTCATCGTTAGCAAGGATTAATCGGAAAATTTGGAAACAATGGTATTGAAAAAAAAAGATGAAGTGGTCGAGAAAACTCCACAACCAGAATCGAAATGCCTAGTTACATCTCAACAATTACTATCCAACAGAATGAATCATCCAGAATACAGTTAAAATACACGAGTGAGGACACATCGTAGACTGTCGTTGGCAAAAATGAAAAAACTAATAGATGACAAACGAAAGCTGAAGAGGATCATTGGAACATTGAAAAAGAAAGAGTACAGGACTGAACAAGCTACGATTTCTTCAGAAGCATCTCCTAAGAGTACGGCTTAAATAAAATATTGAAGTATGAGACGAAGAAACATAGCTCACAGGATTCTCTTTAGTGTAACCATATGTGACTCAGTGGAAAAATATTGCCATACACTTAACAAAAAGGAAAACTTTGGATTTTGGAAAAGGTTTTCTGAACAATGCAAGATCTTTAAAAAGTATCGTTTACACAATAATTTGAGCTTTCTCTCTTCAAGATTGTTAAACAAAGAAGAAAAAATATTACGAACAGTGAGTGTTCAAGAAGCAAGTTGAAAAAATAACTAAGGAAGTAAAAATGGACGTTACCAAATTTTTGGAGGACGACGAAAATAGCAGGATGTGTCCTAGTAAAAGCAGTCTCTTATTAAGAAAAAAACTAAGAAACAAAAGTAAAGATTTTGTGAAATCATGACTTACAAGCGATTCCGAATTTGCGAAAATATGGACCTGATGGTTTCTGGTCTGCATAAAGAAATCATTCTACAAACTAACAATAAGGAATATATTCTTAAAACTATTTATTGCGACAGCCGCAGTTTGGACTGACTTCAATGGAATATGCAACTATTGATTTATTTTGAACAAAAAATCAATCACTTCATGGACCATGAAGCAGTCAGGCTCCACCAGTTTCGAGAGCTCAAAAATTTAAAAAGTCGGTTAGCTGAAAATTAAGCGACCATACATTGCCTCTTCTCCAAGTATTATTCCATGAAATACGTACAAGAAATGCAATCAGTTCATTTTGAATGTACTCCCCCATAATTCTCTTTAAAGACTATAATAATATACTCAAAAAATAATGGGTATGTAGAAGTGCAATACTAATCATTCTCTAACCCCAGAGAGCACCGGTCACGGACCAGTCGCAGTGTGGGCACACCTGAAACCAGTATAACTGTGGCTGTAATTGATTTTTCCAAGTCAATTGTGATATTTTAAAAGTGATGATGATAAAAATGATTTCAATCATGATCTTATGGTTTCTTTAAAAATTAATCCTATGAATGTTTTTTTGTAAACACCATTAGCATGCCTAGGAGCAATTCATGGAAAAAAATAATTAGAAATCGCAATTTTTAGGCAGTGAAATCACAACCATGAAATGGGAGAATGGCCCAGCAGCCATTGGTGGCCGAATCGAACCATGGAGGGGGTAGAGGGTAGAAAACAAACGGAGCAGGTAAGGGGTCCAACCCCAGTATCCCTCGGGGGCCATCTCAGCGCTTGGGGTCCTGCAATGACGGCAGGGGTTGTTCTGAGTCCGCTCTTGTTTGTAAGTCCATTCATTCTCTTAGGATCGCTTTCAACGCTGTTGGTGTGGTTTACGATAAACCACCTAGTATTTTTCGATAAACCGTAGTAACAAATATTTATTTAATTTTGATTGAATTCGAACAGATATATGTGTGCTTTAATGCAAATTTGAATGGGCTGATCCAGAGATAGCATTTGGGGAGGAGCAACCACAGGGTTCGTAAACTTTCGAACAGAACTGTCCGAAATTATACCATATGTTTTTAATGCTTGTATGTATCCTTCGAAGGAAGAATACATACAATAAGTAGTATAATTTTAAAATATATAATCTTCGGACTGTTCTGTTCAGAGGTTTCCAAATTCTGTTTCTTCCCGAAGACCGTACACTTGTAATTTGTAGTGTATTTTTATAAGGTAATATGGGAGGATGGTAAGTAGTGTTTTCTCGTTCTGTGTCAAAAGGCATTACCAGGATATTTCAATAATTAATACTTAATACTAGGTTTCGAGGCCATCTTCTTTTCAAGTGCCTCGGAGAATCATCGGGAATAGAAGATGAAGTAAGGTTAGAATTTAATGGTTCTAGACGGTTAGTAAGTTTATTATAGAAAATTAATATTTGCTTGGGGCTCGATCGGTTGCACATGGAGATTAAGGTATTTATGGATGATTGTATTTGTGATAAAGTAAGAGCACTGTATATTTTGCGAAGAATATTGGTTTTAGTGGCACCAAATCTCAAATCTATTGTCTAAATAAACCTTATTGGAGTCCTATAAATCTTTTTTTTTTAATTGATTGGAAGCTTGGACTGTTTTTCTAGTAAATGTTAAAGTCGGAATCGACGTGCAAGTTCCTTTCTTGTTGTATGAGGATTTAAAGTTTGTCCTTTGTCCGGATTTTGTCCTAGCTAGCGGATCTGTTCTACAGGTTCCTTAATTATCAAACATTATGCAAAAATTTAGAAGCTAGAAGTGCTTAAAATGAACTATCCACCTTTTTAAAGGTGAAAATTCTTTTGTTAATCATCTTAACCTTGTATCTTTGAAAGTAATGGTCCAATTTCAACGATTTGTTACGATTTCAACGGGAATTTAGTTATTCCTGCAATTTTTCAAGAATTTTAGGGACACATATTCTAGTTTTTAATTAATTAAAAAATACTGGTAACATCTACAACAATTTCAGATGCAGCTCCAAGCGCACCCCAAAAATCTTTTTCAAAGGTGTCTTACCTTCCCTAATTGGTTCAATATTTAGTCTGCAAAATGTTTTTTTGTAAATATAGAAATAATATATAATATACTCACCTATAGTTTTAGCATTCTTTAAATATGTGTTGTATAAGCTTTAGGCTTTTCAAAATCAGTATTATTATTATTACTATAAAACCATTTTTGATCCGTTCACTAATTAGTTTAATTAATTTTACAGGTATCAGGAGTTATGGATGAAGGCAGTAGACAGAGAAGGAAAGGATTGGACAATTGTAAAGGGAAAAAAAGAGTATTTTGAGGTTTGGAAATCATTTTGTTGAATAAATTATGTAAATGCTAGCTTCTAGTCCTTTACCTATACAGAATATAAATTTGAAATTGTTGTTAATACTCATGACATGTTCAGTCTAACTACCTGTTCTTTTTATTTTACTGAACTTAGAGTAGTTCATAGTCTTACTATGATGTCTTCAAAGTAAGATTTTTATTGAATGGAATATGGTCCGGGTGCGGTGAAAAAAAACTCAAATAGTAGAATTACACTATTTTATTGAGCCAACATTTCGCCCCACGTTCCAGGGCTTCGTCAGGGCTAAAAAAGATACAAACACATAGTTACAAAAGGAAAAAAGAGAAAAAAAAAACATGAGTGTAAAATAACAGGGGTATAAAATGTAAGATTTTTATTCATTGATATCATGAACTGACAATTTAAAAATCCATACTAAATCTATGATACATATTGTATGGTAAGTTGAGGCATGTTTATTTTTATGGCAAGAGCATATCAAATTTCTTAAAAATAGTTATTGTAATATTACAATGCTAAGTTGTAGTAGAAAACCAGACAAACGCCTTCCCTTTAAATATCCCTCCCTTAGAAAAGTGCTGATATTTTTACATAAGAATATTATTTTCCCTCACGAATTGAAGCGATTGAGCATAATTGGATCTATTTTCCATTTTTAAAAATAATTTGTTGATTAGTTATTAAAATTTCAGTTTTTTTATTCATTTAATCTGTTTAATGTGTTTTACTCCTTTTCCTACTTTTAGGGGGAACAGGTTTCTTGCTCTTGCCTAAACAGCTGTTTAATTTAAACACAAATATGTCATTTATGCTGTTACCTTCATTTCTTTTGGGCAAGTGCGCACTAATACCTACATAGGGATTTGCATGGTTTTGTATCATAAAATTAATCAACTGATTATTTTCAAATTTCTTGTTGTAGAGAGTAATAATATGACATGTTTATTGACAAGTTTCAAATCTCCATCTTAAAAATTGTCCATCTTAGGTGTGTATTGTTGACCATAGATTCAATAGGAGAAAAGAATGGCCAAGGGTGTGGTCAGTAATGACAAACACAATTTTATTTGTGCCTACGTTTTATCTTGATTTTCATACATCTATTAGGAGTGAAAACAATTACTACTTACTTATTTGTGTTTCTCATTACAAACCACCATCTTCTTCTAATAATATCATATTAAGTCAAAATTTTAATATACACTTGTCCCAACTTGTAATATCTTAATTTCAATTAAATTTAAGATTATTAGCTACCTCCATAGTGCATAAATTTAATAAATACAAGCTAAACTTTATAAAAATTTTTTTTGAACCAAAATGCAACTACATAATTGGAAAATAACTGACAATTTTACTTTACAAAATCTGACAACATATAATCTTTATATTTCTATACTACGGTTATTATTAAAAAAACCTTTTATGAATATGGTCTGCATGTGATCTCACTGATAATTACATTAGACTTATATATTTATTAAGTTAATAGTAAATTAGCTTTTAATAGCTATGGACAATGCTGACACAATCTGATGTTGATATAATGTTAATTAATTGAATTAAGTACCTTTTTTGTCGAGAATTTCTTACCAATTAATTTTGAAAGTTAATGCATGTTCAGCATGAGTATGAAAAGAATATTTTTTCTTTGAAAAATACTTCTTCAAACTAAAATTAAAATTTTGCATGCTTTTTGTATGTTCTAGTAAAAAAATAATCTCCTCCAAAACCAAATAGAAACCTAAATGGTGTTCATAATGATCAGTTAATAATTGAATATAGGTTATATATAAGAAGATGGTTGAGGGTATGGTTAGTGAAGAAGACAAATAAGTAAAACTTATTTATTAATGCTAACATTTCCAGGTTCCAACACCAAGTATTCGTACTATGGTACTAAAATACATGATAAAAACATTTGTATTACTTAAAATACAAACCTTATGCTGGTGAGTATGAAAAGTATATTTTTTGATAGATTTTTGGATAGCAAGATGAATATATCCTCAAAGTCCTCCCTTTGTGTAAACCTCTTTTATTAATACATAAAACATTTCATAGAATAATTTTGTTCATTGTATTAGAAAGTAATAAACTCTGTAGCAATAATCATTTTTTATTTTTTATATTTTCAGATTCTATATTTTTATACCACTGGTTTCAAGATTCAGCCACTTTAAAGATCAAGCACTGGAAGATAAATGGGGCGTTAGATTGGTTAATGCTCTACATCTACCCTGTAGATCCGAATTTGTTTGATAGAGGGCGACAAATTCGGTTCTAGAGAGGTTTGTGTGGGGCATATACATTGACTGCGGCAGAACGATGAAAGGAAAATCATTTGGTGTCATATTATAACACAATATATTATAAATTAATTTTATTTATGAACTATGTATACATTTTATAATGTTGAAATTTATATATTATGATTTATTTAACTGTGAAAAATTTAAATAAAAAAAAAAAAAGATAATGTGGAGTATTGTTTGAACTAATAAATATTATTTTTTAGTAGTTTTTAGTACTTTAAAACCCAATGATGCCCAAAACTTCATTTGTGTTCTAAATAATTTTATATAATTTGCTGCTTCATGTTCGTTGTTACTAACTTTTTATTTTATTGAGTATATGTATCTACTTATTTCATAATTGTATATGTATTCTATGACCTAACCAAACATGTAAATTTTTCTTTAGCTTACTAATTTCCATACATTTAGATTGAGCTTTTTGTTATAGATTTTAATAAATTTATTACAATAAATTTCTTTTAAGTTCACTAAAACTGTATTTATAAATTATTTGGAACATTATTTTCTGAAGTAACATTAACTATATCGTCGGGTTAGAGGCAAAAGTGATCAAACAACATTTTCGCAAAGATGAGTTTTTTTCTATCTCCCTATGCCTTAATCTACAGCTTCAGAACTGTTAATATTATGAAATTATCAACAATTATGTATTTATTATTTCGATGATAAATTTGATTCAGGCACAGTTAAATAGAAGAAAATCTCATTTCCACAAAAATATCGCTTTTAGTTCCAATCCAATGATATAATAAATAATTCTGGCAATTAATAAAATACCACCAAAGAGTCATTACCATACTTTGGAAAACTATCATTATTTCATTACTTTTTTTTTAAATATTCTTAAATCCTACACCTTTTCATAAGGATTCATAATGAATAAAATCCAAAGTCTTTAATAAACAGAAGCTGAAATTACGACTGGACTTTCATTGAAAATCTAATGAACAACAGGTAGGTAAGTATACCCAATTGTGCCTGAGAAGAACAAATCAATATTAAATCACTTTGATATAATAATTTTTTTTTCCTTTTCCATATTTTTGTATTTAAGTTAATAAAATTTTTGTATAACTCACATTCTTTAAAGTTTTACCTTTATTTTCAATAGAAATATAAATTTATCAATACTTGATAATAATCAAGGATTGATAAATTTATATTTCTATTGAAAATAAAGGTAAATTCTTTTTTTGTATTTTACCTTTATTTTCAATAGAAATATAAATTTATCAATACTTGATAATAATCAAGGATTGATAAATTTATATTTCTATTGAAAATAAAGGTAAATTCTTTTTTTGTATTTTACCTTTATTTTCAATAAATAATGACACTACTTTTACATAATTTTGAACATTATGTAATAATTTAGTCTAGCAATTCATTGCAATAACTGAACTTTAGTAAATATTTAAAAGGTAACTTAAGTAATGTCAGTTTTGAGTCTGACAATTCTAAGATATTAGTAAATAGAATAAAACTCCATCAAATTGTAAATAATCTCAAAATTAGTTTATGGATAGATTTTTAATTTTGAAATATAAACTGGGACCAATTCCCATACATGTTTCACTAGTATTCATAAACAAATTGGCGACTAATTAACCTTTTTTTAAGACCTTAAACTATTTTCTAACAAATGTCTTTTTAGAATTCAGTTTCTTGCCGGTTGTACCAGGATCAAATTAAAAAGCTTGATATAGGATTAGCTTTTGATTTATCCATGAAAGTAAATCCTACCCATTCATACTTAATGGTTAATTTTGTTCAGGAAAATATGCAATACATAAGACATAACCATTGTAACAAAAATACCCTAAATACTATTTCATAATTTATTTGAAAAATGTATTTGAGATAATGAGAATAAGTAAGATCATGTTTTAATGCAAGATAATTGATTCTACATGGAAAACTTCAGCTAGGCCAGATAGTAAAAAGTACTTAGAAAGATGTATGAGAATGAAAGTTAGATGAGTATCCAAAATAGATTAATAAAATTTTTAATATAAGCAATACCATTATAAATACCTCAAAATCAAGTTATGGGCAAGAAAATAGTGGGGAACAAAGCTAGATATCTTGAACAGAAAACTCAAAATATATATACATATACTTTAAATTAAACGTCCAATTATAATTATACAAATACAAAAATGTCCATAATACATTTTTGTATTTTTATAATTATTGTAAATCTGTAAACTTATCATAAACCAACATTATCTAAATTACTCCTTATTACATTTATGAATTTTTCTTTTTTGACTTGTTTTTTTAAATAGAAACCACTGAATTTTATTAACATATAAATAATGTAATAAGTCATCAAATTATGCACAATCCTAAACAAACAGTATTCAATACCTTATTTAAAAATGAACTTGTTTACAATATTTGTTTACTTGTGTGTTGTGGAATGCTTCAATAGTGCCAACTGTTTGATTAAAACAATAATGAATATTTTCAATAATGAAATGAGATTTAAAATACAGATTTAAAATTACAGTAAAATAATTGTAGATTTAATACTTGAAAACAACCAAAAATTATTTAAATAATCTAATATTTTATGGAAACCTATAATATTATTTAATGAATAAAATATTATTTTTTCCCATAAATGAGATTTATGAAAATTATTATACCTACTTTATCCCTTAAAGGATCACAATACCACATTTGTCAAGCAATATGTCAAGTTGTCATATCCATGACAGATTGTTTTGACATGTTCCACCCCTTTCAAAAGTCCCAAGATAATTCCTTTACCTGGCTGTCCAAGTGAGTGGTACTACTGGTTGGCTTTGCTTAATCTTTCACCAAAAGGTATGTATCTCTATTAAATATTGCAATTAAAGTTCTATTGATGTTAAATATTATGAAAATACTTATTGAATAGTTTAATAAAGAGTTGAAATAGATAATTGCTTTTCTTTGGAGAAGTTATGGAGGAGGAATTTATTTTTTAGAATTAAAAATTCTTTAATAAATGGGTAATTGTTGTTTCCAAGAATGATTTTATGAAATATAAAGTTAACAGTTATTAGTCAGCAAATAATACCCATCAAATATGATTTTCCAGAGGAAGGACAAATTATTTAGAATTAAATCTTCATGGACATAATCTATTCAATATTACTCTGATTCAAAAAGCTTCAATTAAGCTCAAATAAGTTCATAATAGCAATTTCTGTTTTTTAGAATTTGGAGTTCAATGTACATACAGGAATAGATTTCTATCTTAAATTTGTATCTGTGTTTTAAAATAGTTCAAAATGAGCCACAAATATACGTAAGAAAAATTTGAAATTTAAGAGTGCTTCCTAAAAATACTTCTTGTATTAAGGTTATCATCCAATCCCATTTAAATTAGATCCTGTGAAAAAAAACTGATATGCAAGCATTGATCTATTTATACATCCCTGGTTATTATAGAACAAAGTATCTTACTAACTGAAAAAGTCACAAGTTACCGCTTTTACAAGAAGTTAACCATTTTCTTTACAACAAGAAAATAGAGAATTAAGAGAATTGCTTTATTTTTTGTTTTATAAAAAAAAAAAAATAAACTGAAGAAAATAACAATGGTGTGAAAATCTCAAAAATGACTTTTTGTAAAATAATGTGTTCTTAGAAATCAGGATAGTACTGTCTTTTGGATATTTCAATTTTCAAACACGAAAGTTATAATCTATTAACTGATTTTCATCCCGTCATTGATTAATTGAGATATTCATCCTGAGCTTTCTCACTTATCCACAAACCAAAGTCTTACAGATTTGAATTGTCAGAAGGATTAATTGCTTTGTTTCATATGATGACATGATGTGCATACTTAAATCACTAATAAATGAAAGTACCGATGTAGATTGTATTCTGATTATTTGATGAGACTTAAATCTATCCTAGCAGGATATATCAATGGCATACTTCATAGAGGTGCTAAGTACAATTAACGTAGCTTTACAAAAAATATAGTTAAAAGCTCTCTCTTTTAGGAAAATTACAACTTTTCAATGTTTTTTTTTTACTGGACTGATTAAAATATAAGTTCTAATTCTATCCAGTCAAAAAATTAATTGAGTAGTTGTAATTTTCCTAAAAAGAGAGAACCTTAAATTGTATTTTTCATAAATTTAGCGAAACATACTGAGCACCACTATGAAGTAAACCATCGATATATTTTTTCTGTAAAAGAGTTACCTGATTTTTGGTATTCAATAATTTTTTTACATAGCTTGTATCCGAAATTTATACCAAATCATTCAGTCTAACAATATGAGGAATTTTGGTATGTTTTCAAATTAGCCCACCGTTTTGTCCAATATCTTCCACTCATTGAGTAACTTTTGATGTAAAGATTTTTGGAAGACATAAAAACAAGTATACATGATGTCTGAAATATGTTAATTAAGATGCCTTTATTCAAAAGCATAAAATTTCAAATGGTAGATATAACATATGTGATATGGTGTGGTGTTTTATACTGTGGACAATCTTATAGAATAAATAAATGAATGGTTTTAAAATTTAAATAAAGAGGTTTTAACTTTAAATAAAGAAATTGACCTGGGCAGAATAGCCTGCAAATAGAAAATAATAATTAATGTGAGAAGGATTTTTATATTGAAGATGTCTCTGAAGATGGCTAGAAAGGCCGAAACGTAGGACAAATGAATAAATAAAGTGTTGAGACTGATTTGGATATAAAATTGATTTATTTAATAAATATTACCTTGTCTCAAAAAATTTTTGAAATAATATAATTAAAATTATGAACAATCTTACAAATGCCAATTAACTTTTAACAAAGAGAATATGGGTGGATGACATTAATTATTATTCTTATAATCTTCTTAATATTTAATATTCCATTAAAGAAAGATTTTTACCAGCTCTTATTTTGGGTTTGTAAATTAAATTAGGTACTATTATGAAATAAGCTTCCATGTATAATCTTACAACAGCCATAAATGATCCAGTGTTACCTTTCTTATTTGAATCTCTGACAGGATCTTAGTTGTTATGATCCTGATCCTTGGTTTTTATTATTATTTTTTTTACCACAATTAATTTAGTGGTACATTTAATGATTAATGATCTAATTTTTTTGATAATGATTGCACAAAAATGATTTTGGGGAATGTGTGTGGGACACTTCTCTTTCTCTCTAACTTATTAATTGAAGTTATAATAATTTATTTATGTACTTTTCCCTTAATTAAGTTACCAAAGAAATTTTTTGTACATGGAGGAACAATATTTTTGCCAGAAGATTAAATAAAATCATTAAATTAAATGTGTTTGTCATAAAGGCAAAAGTGTGTGCCTTATACAAAATACGAAGTTATATTGCCTTATGCTGTTTTTAATGCCCCAAATGGTTACAAAAACTTTTTCTCTCACCAATTTATTATAA